TTGAAGACGTGAAGCTCCTCGAAAAAGAAATAGAAGACACCGACAAGCTACTTAAGCAAATGAGTACTGCTTTTAGTAGCCACTTTGAACAGAAGTTGTCAACTATGGCGGTGAAGGCGGTTTCAATTAAAAATAGCATAAAGGATATAAAAAAAAATTTCACCTTGCTTTCTGATCTTGATTTTAAGCCATCAGATCATTGATTGTTTTCGGCAGCATTAACAAAAAGTATGTTTGCCATTGACATTGTTTAATTTGATATATTTCAATTTCTAAAATTGGTCTTCCTCAACTCTTTCCTCCCTTGCTCTGATTGGCTGACACCGACGAAGTTGATGAACTGCCCGCAAGCTAGAGAAGCCGAACGCGCAAGCTTTTGCCGAGATCTGAAGCCCGAGCGGTTTCGGGTCGAGCCTGGGCTCGGCTCGAAACGTTCGCACGAGCCGAGCCGAGCCCTGGCCCAGCGAGCACGTCGAGCTCATCGGGCCGATTCGGGCTCGTGTAGGCTCGAGCTTGCACGACGGCGTGCGGCGGGGTGGAGTGGAGTAGCTGATGCACATCAAATCACGCCGGCCGTGTGGCTAGAGGAAGGGGACGGGTGAGAATCCATGGCTAAAAAGCGACTGCCCGTGCAACAAAATCCGATCTGCAAATTGTGACGTCATTCCGCCCCGTTAATATCCCCCCCCCCCTTCCTCTCACCTATCAACGACTGGTGAGAGTAGGTGAAGGGTTATGAGGTCACATTTTGCAGATCGAATTTTGTTGCAAAAGGCTTTGGCGTAAAAGTCGCTCTATGCAGGGAGTCGCTCAGTATACCGTTTACCGAACAATCCATGACATTTCTTTTAACATTTAGTACTACAATTTAAGTTCACATCAAATTTGTAACGTCAAAGGTTTGTGAAATAATGCCGTAAAGATCCAATATTAATATCTAAGGTACTGCCACCAGTTAATCTGATGAAACCGTGGGGATGTACCTCATGCCAGCGCCCCCACTCTCCTGCTACGTCGCTCAGCTAAACATTTCGCAACACTTCACTTTACTCCCCTCCCGGTCATTCGGGCTTTCTGGCTCGGCCAGGCTCGTTCGGGCTCGGCTCTGTGCGTTCGCTCGGGTCCGAGCTCGAGCAGGCCCGGCACCGCTGGCTTCCCCCTCCCTGCAGCAGCGCTCTAGCCCGGCGTGGCCAGGCGTAGCTCAAGCGACAGCCGGCCCGAAAGCTCGTTTGTTCAGCTTCTCAAACCTCAAGCGCGGTCGACCCCTAGTGTCGGGTCCGATTGCTTCGTCGGCATCGGCCAATGAACGCCCAGGAGGAAAGAGTTCAGGAAGAACTCTTGTTTCTTTGGATCCGGTTTGCGTCACGTGATATACCCTATTAAACGTTCTGGTAAACCTGAAATGTAGAAGATACAGGGAACAAGAAAACGTAAGTCACATTGTACTAGGTAGATGTACGCCAGACCACGTCTCGCGTAACAGGCTTCGCGATATCCCTGACAAAAATGAAGTGTCAACAAAGTGGCAACGAAGTGTCAGGGAAGTGTTGAAACGAAGTGTTATCGAAGCTGCAATTGGCACTACGAAGTGTCAACGAAGTGTCAAAAGGAAGCTTCAACGAAGTGGCAACGAAGTGTTATCTAAGTGTGAAGGAAGTGTCAAGGAAGTATATATGCGAGGTGTTCACGAAGTGACAACGAGGCGTCAGGGAAGTGGTGGGAACCTTTGCTCAAGCCCCACCTCATTCACCAGAAAAAAGGCCCTTCAAATTAACACAAGCAAATCTATTATTTGATCTTTTTTTATTAGACATAACGGCTGATTATTGTCTTGCACTTTAGATTAAAATTGAATAAGGTGAGATGATTCAGAACTTTTAAGTAGTAAAATGTCCCTGAAACAAAACAAAAAACCAACAGTTAGTTCAATAAAATCTTTAAAAGATTAATGCGAGACTATAGGAAAGAGCAGAATTCTAAACTGTACTTACGGTACTACTGCTGTTTGTCTTCATCTACTTGCATCGTCTTGAAAATCACTTCCCATTATGTGCTAATAGAAGGGAGAAAGAAAACATCTGTATTAATAATTTGAAGGTAAAGGTATGGACATAAAGATATAACATACTAGCTTACCTTGCCTTATATAGTTTTCAGAATATTCAATATTTGAAGCAATGTAGTTGTTGATCCGCAAAACAAAATAGGACTGAAAATAGAGCAAATGCATTGCTAAGAAAAAGCGTTTTCAGGGGATGAACTCACACCTAAAGGTACAGTTTGAATTCAAATACAGCAGGTTACTTACAAAACTGAAATAGCACTATGCAGAGGCACTTAGTGTAGAAAAGCCATGGAATAATTTATATGTTCAAAACATCCATATTTTGGTGGTAAAATACACGGCTTCCTGTAATGCGTGGAGAAAAAGTGTTAGAAAAAATGTACTTGATAGTAAGGAAATGGGGAATGTAGGAAAGGCAAACTTACTGAGGTTATGTTTTCGTCCCGTGAACAGGCCAAATGGTTTGTACTCGTTTGTGCTGCAATTCGCGCTCAACGAGCATGGTGGTTTGCTCTTGAACCATTTAGTTAACTGTAGGAACACTATTTTAAACTAGAAAGAGTCGTATAACCATAAATGTACAATAAAATAAGATTATTGTACCCGGCTACTATGTTTCCACTCCGAGAGGCGCGGTGCTTGTAAACAACAGCAACGAAAATGAGCTGCAGCCGAGCCACTCTTCAGGAAAGTAAAGTAGTGTAACCTTTTTTCAGTTCTTGAGTCAATAACTTGGAATGAAACATTCCCTTCGGATTTTATCAAATATTTAACTAAGGACAGTACTCTAAACAAACCTGTCAGGGTACCAATTCACTACTAAATGATGTTTGAAATAATACTGCTGGTTGGCAACAGTGCCTCGAACGCCAGAAGCACCGCGAACATTCAAAATAAATTGTTTCTTTCCCTGTTTAAATTTCATGTTGGTTAGACATGTTATTTAGACATGTTACTTTAAAACAGCTCATGTTGAGAAGTTTACTGGAAAGGGATATTTTCTTAAGCTATGCCCCAAGTTTACTGCCTACTGGCATTACACTTTTGTGGTAGATTATTTATCAAATCTCAAATAGTTTCCAGCAGTATATTTTTGACTGGATATGGTCCTATTCTAAAAACAACTGTTATTGGTGCTTTTACATAAGTTTATAATGGT